TGTTTTTATTCTTTCTTGGCTAATTAAAAAGGCCCAGCAGATTGGGTTGTTCCATTAGAGTATATTGCTCCATTTTCCCCCCAAAGGACTTGGGTCTATTTTTAATTGGTAACTGAGGGCTAAGCTTCTTTGTTATATAAGGTTCCATCGAAGACTATAATTTTTGTAGTTGAAAGACAAAAATAACAAAAGTGCTGGGAGATATTTGCAGAGATGTCTGAATTCAGTGATGATGTTTATGTGCCTCTCAAGTAAAGCAGTAACACTGTTTTGCTTACTGGTATCTGTTGACTGATGAACTGCGGACTTTTAAAATTTAACCCCTTTAGCAATAGACATGCATCTCAATGTTAGTTATGACCGAGTTTCCAGCGAATCTAATGTTCATAATTATTGCCTTTGATCTATATTGACTGTATTATTTTTCTAGTTTTTTTTCCATATTGTTGCAAGTACAAAGACTGTTTTTGGGCAACTATATCAATATTTACTATTATACTGTATCAGCATTTCAGCATTTCAAGGTAAAAGTTAGAAAAATAACCTAGAGTGTTGCTAAAATACATTTGTTGTAAGGTAAAAATGTGTTTGTGTATGTTTTGAGGGGGTGTGTTCAAGACAGGGTTTCTCTGTACAGCCTTGGCTGTCCTAGACTCACATTGGAGACCAGGTTGGCCTTGAACTCACAGAGATCTGCCTGCCTCTGCCTCCTTGAGTGCTGGGATTACAGGCGTGTGCCACCATGCTTGGCTATATGTGGTGGTTCGAAGTGCATGAACAATAGGAAATTATGCTTAATTGATGAGTGTGATGAACATATTGCCAAGACATTTGAACAGAATACTGTAATTGCTGTGCTGTTACTGTCTTAGCCAGTGTTCTATTACTGTGAAGAGACACCATGACCACAGCAACTCTTATTAAAGAAAACATTTAATTGGGACTTGCTTATAGTTTCAGAGGTTTTAAATGTCCATTTTTCTCTTTTTTTGTCATAATGGGGAACATGGCAGCAAGCAGGCAGACGTGATGCTAAAGAAGTAGTTGAGGCTTCTACATCCAGATCCACAGGCAGCAAGGAGAGAGAGAGAGAGAGAGAGAGAGAGAGAGAGAGAGAGAGACTAGGCCTGGCTTGGGCTTTTGAAAGCTCAAAGCCTACCCCTAGTGACACACACTTCACACTTCCTCCAACAAGGCCACACCTCCTAATCCCTCTCAAATAGTGTCACTCCATTAAAATATGCGAGCCTATAGTTCTTATTCAAAGGACCAAAGTTATGAAGGCCTTCATTTGTTTGGTGCTGCTATAAAGTACTTGATAGGTAAATTTCTATGTTAATTTTCTTATTTAAATCTCACAACCCTCCATTAAGGTTTTTCTTTCAGTTCCATTATCTGCTTAAGAAAACCAGGGGTGTAGAAGTCAATTGTCCAAAGGCTGGTTCTTCTGCTACCTGAATCCTAAAGAAAGAGACACTTAGGGTTTCATCAACCAAAGTTTCTTCTTGGGATATGCTGTCTAGATCCTTTTACTTTTATTGAGGGGCTGAAGGAGAGGACTGTTGGGACCGACTAGAAGACATGGCCCCTGTGTTCAAGGAGCTCCTGCTGGGAGGATCACAGTGACGCCCACTTGTGATGACGGTGCAGAAGGAGGAGATGCTCCGGGTGTGTGCATGATCTCTCTTTGGTTCCATAGTAGCAGTTATTTTTCTTTTGTAGACCCCTGTTGTGGTCAAGGATCGCTGACTCAGTTTTTGAAGTATGGGCATAATAAAGCATCATTTTCATGGTGCAAAGGGAAGAACTGAAAGGCTGGTAGTCTTTCCGCATTAGAATTCTGGATGCCTTCATGTGATGACAGATCACTGATGAGCTTTGGCCAGTCAGCTTGTGGAACTTGCTGGTTATGGCCAACCTGTGTCTAATACAATTAATTTTAATACATGCTTTGGAGATTAGCCAGTGACACGGGCCAGAATTGTTATAAACCCATGTTGACTCATCAGCTTGCACATATATATGTATATATATATATATATATATATATATATATATATATATATATTTCTACAAATTCGAGTGTGTTCTGTTATTTCTCTCAAAACATTGGCATTCTCTTTTAATAATCTTACATGTAGTTTGCTCCAAACACAAAGCCCCAAAGCTTAGGGTAATAAATTATTATGCAAACAGATATATAAAATGATCTTCCCTTTGGGATAGTCATTGTAACATGATGGTTAGCTTGGTGATTATTTACCCTTCACAACTTGCCAAGGAGAAATACTGTCTTTATTCAGTTTGTAGCTAATCAAGATGTTAGAATAAGAGCTAATATATTCCGAGAGTCTCGATTTTTTTTTTTAAACTTGGTCCAAGACATCACTATGAAAGCATAAAAATGGTAGACAGAGAAATTTAAAGATAACAAAGGCAGTATTAAAAACAAAAAGTAAATTAAAATTAAAGAAAAATTTGGAACCGAAGAGGCACACAACATTGAATTCTAAAGAAACAAAAACAAAAACAAAACAAAACAAAAACAAAAAGCAGAATGTGTATTGGTATGTCAGCTAAAATAAAAACCCTAGATTGTGGACTTTTAATATTACTGTGATGGACTTACTAATACATCCCCCCCCATGACCATGTACTGATCCTAAAGGCTTAGGGACTATCTTATGATTACCCTGGGTCATTTGTTTTGGTTTAAGATAGACACGAAGGCCCTGTGGGAGTCTGTACACATGAGCTCAGTATGCACAGAGGCCAGAGCAGGGCAGCAGACCTCTTGGCCTTGGAGTTAGTGGTGGCTGTGAAGAACCGGGTATGGCAAGCTGGGCCTCTGGTCCTTGGGAAGAGCAGCAAGTGCTCTTCACTGCGGTGCTATCTCTGTAGAGTCCTGTCTTCCCTTTTGATTGAGTGAGACTGTATGGTGGCTCTGGTAATCACTTGGATAGGATTTTAATCTGGTAAAATATACATGTAGGTGACAAGGGTTGCATAAGGGTGTGTGTGTGTGTTTACGTGTCGTTTACTGCAACATTTATTTGATGGAATGATGTTGACTTTTAAATTGGAAACAATTTCAGACTGACTCAGTGTTTTAAGGGATTAGGACTTATCAGAAAGTATCATGAGAGAATATAATGCCTTTACATATCTTTTACTGCCATGAGTAGGGGTTCCTGTGGGATTTCTAAAGAACTGTGGTTTGTGGCTGGAAAAAGAGTGAGGCCTTATATACATAAGTGTCTCCCCACTCAGTGTTTTAATTTATTCATTGACAGTTTTATACAATATAGAGATAGTATTTTTCCCTTTTTCCAACATCCTCTCCCACCTTGCCACCCACCCAACTTTGTTTTTTTTTCCTCTTTAAAAACAAAAAACCAAACCAAAACAACAACAAAAACTACTGAAGAACCTCGTGGAGTTTGGTTTGTGTTGGCCAGCCACTCCTAGGCACAAGGCCTGCCCTGGAATGTGGTTGGTACACTCAGTGTCATTCCATCAGAGAAAATTACCTTTCCCTCTCCAACCAGCTATCAGCTACAAACAGCTTCTTGGAGAGGGCTGGGAATATATGTCTGTTTTCCCTCTCCTGTGCTGAGATTTTTTTTTTCTGGCTTGAACAGTTACAGTTCTTGTCTGCTCTGTAATAGTCTCTGAGTTTGTATGTGTACCTGTCCTCTTGTGTCTGGAAAATGCTGTTTCTTTGAAGTCACCCACTACCTCTGTCTCTTAGAATTTTTCCTTCCCCTTTTCCCATATATATCCCTGAGCTTTGGTATATCCCTGAGCCTTGGGGGGAGGGGTGTGATATAGACAGCCCACTTAGGGCTGAGTACTCCGAAGTCTCCCATTATCTGTGTGTTGTTAAGCTGTGGGTCTCTGTACTAATTTCTACTGCAAGGAAAAGCTTCTCTGATGAGGGTTGATCTATATGCTAGGTCTTAAGGATAACTCATTGCTATTTTAACGTTTCAATTATCAGTATCTGCATAAAAAAGGAACATTGTCTCTGTATAGTCAATCTTCACAGCAGGTGTTAGTTGTGCTGGAATTCCTGGCTCTGAGCTGGTGAGAAGATCCAGTCAAACTTTGGAATGGGGGATTGCTTTCCCTTCTCACATCCTCTTTCCTGCCTTTCTGTCTTCTCTCAGTTTCGTTAAAGCTGAGGTTGGATGAATACCTACTAAGAGATTCTACAAATGGCACTTCTTCTCTGAAATCATTCATTTTTTTTCTGAACTCTTCCTATGTACAAGCATGGTGCCTTGTGTTGAAAGATAAATATGGTGGCCAAGAAATGGTATTACTATACAAAAGACACAATGTCTACTTGGAAGAAACTGCTTGATGCTTCCGTCTCTTTGCTTTAACTGCAGAACTCTGTGTGTTATGTCTTCTGTCTTTTAAACACTCCAGTGTGCCACTATTGCTTTTCTTTTGCGATGTTTACTATCAATCCCTGAGAGACTGTGCATCTTCAACACCACATGCATAGTTTTTTTTCTCCACCTTTTACCATAGGGGCTAAAATTGAACGTGGAGGCAACATTTATTTGATGGAATAATGTTGACTTTTAAATTGAAAACAATTCCAGACTGACTGTTTAAGGGATTAGGACTTATCAGAAAGTATCATGAGAGAATATAATGGCTTTAAATGTGAGAGAGTATTATTTATTTGGACTATTGAAATTTCATGGCACCTAAGACATGTATGGAAGAGTAAGGTTCCAAAGCTACAGTGTTATTTTTTATGAAGGAAGTTATAGTTTGTAAGTCCTAGGGCCTTGGATTTTCCAGCTTCAGCATTTGGAGAATGACTGTATATCTCGCTGAACTCCCCTTCTGCTTGCGGAGATCAGATAGAGCTAGGAGAAAGCAAAGGTGCCAAGAACAAGGCGTGCAGGTTTGGAGGGGATACTGGAACCTCTGTATACTTGGCCTATCAAGTAAGGCCAGCTGCTCATTTGTCTTCTGTCCAGGTTTGGAATCCACCCAGTTGCAGGCCGAATGCCTGGTCAGCTTAATGTACTCCTGGCTGAGGCGGGAGTGCCCTATGATATTGTGCTGGAGATGGATGAGATCAACAGCGATTTCCCAGGTAGGTGACAGAGAAGATGGTGCACTTTAAATACCCTTTAAATGTTGTGCACAAAGTGGAACTATGTTTGTAATATGGTTGTGGCATTAGCGAAGACTGACAAGTTTGGTAAAGAGTGAATATAATAGATATGTGGCCACAGGTAGATAAGGGAGCCGCAGCAGATGTGTCAGAAGCAGAGTTAAACTTTATTTTTCTGTGAGAACTGAGTGGTGCTGAGTGGGTGACAGTGCAGACGTGAGTCTGAATCCTGGTCAGATCTGGCTTTTGAATCCAGGTCTCCACTCTCAGTAGTTTGTAGACTTGAACTACATGCCCACCACAGACTCCTCATTTATAAACTGCTTCTGGGGATGAGTTCTTGGTGCCTGCAGTTTCACTGTTTTCCTCTGTACCAAGTTATGATCAGTGAAGTAGCTGGTGTGTTCTTCCTGTCCGTCTCTTGCCCGTCCTCCCTCCCCGACTTCATTTAGAAGAACTAGGACTTCATAAGATAAGGTGCTATACTTTATAGCTGTCGTTATGTAGATGTGGGGTGGTAATGACATTTGGCCCAAGATCATGTTTGTTAAAATTAGACCTATTCTCTCTGGCAAATCTCCACTGTAAACTTGAAAAAAAAAAAAAAACACTGTTTATTAGAAAAAAAGCAACAACAATATTGTGTGTATGTCTAGCTGCACATGGCATTTTTGGCAACATCCTTAGGTTATTTAAATTATAGTTCTCAAAGAGGGAATTTAGCCCATTTTAATTTTATGCTCTTTTTTAAATTTAACTGTTGTTAAATTATGTGTAAAACCAGCCAGTTCCAGGAATTATGGACACAGCTTTAACACGGTACAGGCTTTTAGACTTAGCTTTTTGACATTAGATCGCATCTTAATTGGTCATTTTAAGGGTTGAAAATGGATTCAGATCTTATAAAATCATGTGAATAGCAAGATAATTTGGGGACAATAAAAGAAATACAGAGTCAGATCAGACAGGTCCTCCGGGAGAGTAAGCATCATGAAGCAGGCTTTAGTCAGGATGGTAAAGTTCTGTGCACGCCCCACTTCAAGGTCTATGACATTTTCTGGTAAAGTATGTGGTATCTGGCACAGATTAGCCTCTTATAAGAATTTGGTATCACTATAATTTGCCTAAAAAGAAGTGTGAGCAACCCATTGTGTTATATACTTTTCCCTCCCTCCCTCTGTTTTCAATATAGACACTGACCTGGTTCTTGTCATTGGAGCTAATGACACTGTGAATTCAGCGGCTCAGGAAGACCCCAACTCTATTATTGCAGGCATGCCAGTCCTTGAGGTCTGGAAGTCCAAACAGGTACATTTTAAACCTACCCTTCATTCTCATCATCGAAGGTCACTCGAAACACACACACACACATACACACACAGAGAGACACACACACACACAGAGAACTCTTTTTGGTTACTTAGTGAGAATTGGTGATGATTTTTAGGAGGCTCAGCTTAGGGTTGGGCCCCCATGCCCAGTTTCCTTCTGTTCTCTGCTCACCATAGAATCTGAGTGAATACCACATTGTGAGTGGAACCATGTGAGATTATGTGGATGGATTAACAAAATCTAACCACAGCTGAAAAAAAAAAATGGCTGTAAGCAATTGGAATTTGTCTGGCCAAATTCCAAACTGAGTCCAGTGAAGCAGATGGCTTCCCTCTGAGACAGTGAGTCAGTATCATTGCCTTCATGTATGAAGGCGAGCACATTTTTTCTGATTTATTTTTTATGGGGTATTTGTATATTGTTATGGACTGTCTAACAGAGAGGCAATTTAAAAATCCAAACAGTAACATGGCACAGGAAAGGAAACTTTGCTCATGCATATGGCTCCTGCGTAAAGCTAACTGCTAGATTTTAGAGTATTCAAAGGTTCCTAGATTCTCCTCTGATCCTGAAGAGGGGCAATTCTTTGCTGTTCCTGACTATGTACATACTGTAAAACTTATAGCAGTATTGGGCTGGAGGGGCGCTTGCCAGTTGAAGTGCACACTAATCTTGCAGAGGACCACAGTTCAGAGCCCAGCACCACCACTGCGAGGCTCACCTGTAACTTCAGCACCCAGAGACCCAGCACCTTCCAGACAACAAAATGGCCATACGTACACATAACATAACCCATGCACATAGTTAAAGTAAAATAAAACACGAAAAGGGGTGATAGTAGCATAATGTACATTCCCTGTTCATTTTGTTTAACGTGAGTTTAAAATGAATTTAAAATGTACTGTTTGAGATGAGTGAGTAGATGCAAAATGTCCTTGCTGATGTATATATCATACTGGCTATTATCATACTGGTAATCACTATTTGAAAGTCTTCGGAGTCCCGTTATTGTACTAATGTCATATAAATGCGTGGACACATTCCCAATGCTATCATTTTTTAATAGATCATATGTTCTAGAAGACCATACAGGTTTTTAATTTCTTTGGAACCAACTTGAAATTTTCAGGATAACAAAATCTGTAACTAATGTCAGTAATGTGTATCTATGTAACTTCAGTGTTTCTAGGTCAACCAACCTCCATCATTGTGCCTAGTCGATACATTCTGTTAGTGTTTAGCTCCATCCCTGAGAGAAGCTACTTTGTTTTTTGACATGTCTTTGTCCTAGAACGTTCTGCTTTAGTTTACTCTGAAGTGATAGACAGGATCATACCATTTCCTCACATTCAGTTGTGTTTATGTTAGAATTTGCAAATGTGAGTGAATGCACAAAGTGTGTTTTCTTTAGCTTATTCATAGAAAAGTGTATAAGCTCACAGCATTATCTTTTTGATTAGAAAGTGTTACTCACAGACTTTGTAGAGATGAATGGGATGATAAAAAATATCCCTGTAATTTTATCACTTAAAGATAAACTGTTAGCATGAGTTTCCCTGTAATAGGCATAAGAGTATAATTAAAAATGAACATTACTGTAATATAAACATACATTTAAAAATACTCCATGTATATTTTAAAAATCTCTGTACTAAATAATTGATAGTGGGAAGGGGCCTTGTTCACTCTTGGGGAAGAAATCCTGTGTGCTCTTGTGCAGTTGGGTTCTAAGGGCAATGTCCTGTATAATGTGCAAAGCTGAAACGAAGCAGTTTAACTTTTGTCACCATAAATGGATAAATGTCAGAGGAGACAGACATGTTTAACCTGATCTAAGTATTGAATAATAGCCATATGTCTTGAGGTATCACCTGTACCCTATAACTGTGCATTTATATGTTCATATATCATATCAATAAATAAAAGTAAAAAAGTAAAGTACAAATTAAAACAACATCAAAACTAGGAAAAGGCAGTGCTTTACGCCCAATAGGCCGTGTTGAATATAATTCTTTCTGTCTTGGGTTCTTAGGTCATTGTCATGAAGAGGTCCCTGGGTGTCGGCTATGCTGCGGTGGACAATCCAATCTTCTACAAACCTAACACAGCCATGCTTCTGGGTGATGCCAAGAAGACATGTGATGCTCTGCAGGCCAAAGTTCGAGAATCCTATCAGAAGTGAATGTTAGAGATCAAGCTGGAGGAACAGAGAAATAAGGCATGAGTAGATGAGCAAAGCTTTCAAGGCCCAAAAGAAGCCTAGCAAAACAACAGAGATATTCAAGACCAGAAACCCTTGATTCTCAGAAAACATTTGAAAATTTCATCTACCTATTTCTAGTTGCCGTTGCCAAAAAGCAGAAGTATTTTGTAAGCTGTGAAGAACAGCATCATTTTAGATATAATCCTATTGGATTTTTAAAATTCTCTTTTGGCAGCTAGAAATGAGTTGAGGAGTTGAATGTTCAGGATTTCAGGATGTACTTTGGTCTGAAAAGTATTACACAGTACGAATATCGCAGGCACCTGCATTTAGTTTTTTTTTTTTTTTCTTCTTCTTCACCAAATGTGACTAATTTGCAGCTTTTTATCAACTCCTGCCTGTCCTTTTGCATTGTAGCCATAGCCTGGATTGACCATACCAAATCTGTTTCAGGTTAGCAGGCTTTACTTTAGATTCTAGATTTCAAAGATATATTTTCTCACTTCTATTTTAATATGTAAAAGGACTAGATAGCCTTTCAGAGATGCTAGGAACTATCTGCTTGATAGGGTCAGTAAAACATAACTTAAAAATAATTAGTTGTATTTTTGAAAGCCTTCTTGCCAATTGGAGGTCTCTTTAATTTCGGTGATTAAGTGCTCTTGAGTGTGCTGTATCAAATGCTGTATTAAGTGCTTTTGAGTGGATTGCAACCATTTGAGGAATAAATGAGTTCATCATGTTTTCAAAGTGGTGTAGACTTGTCTCAGATGACAGAGCTAAACTCATTAACATTGAGGAAGACTACTTTTTACTCAATCTCTCTTCACTGTTTAGAAGACTGTATTGTTTTCAAAACTACAGTGATTTTTGAGGTCAAATGTAATTTGATGATACTCAAAAGTCGTATCAGTACTTTCAGTCATATCTGTAAGGACCAGTAAAAAAAAAAAATCCTTTATAGAAGTCTAGATTTTCTTTGTGACTTTACCTTTATTTCAAAAGCTCTTAAGTAGAGAGGAATGTGGTACATTATAAGGATTCTGTCTCTCTATGTACTCAACTTGGTGCCAGGCCTCTCAAAAACAGTTATTAACTCACAAGGCCTGGGGAGATGGCTTACTTGGTTTAGTGCAGAAAAACGGACACAAAACTATTTCTAAATCTCAAGACTACTGGTAAAAACTTTGCTTCTCTTTACCAAGTTTATAATGCACGAGATCTGTTGGTTTGATGAACAAGTTCTGTTTTGTTGTGCCTGAGACAAAGGATGGAGAGGAAGGAGGGAGGGAGTAGAAGAAGGAGGAAGAGGACGGAGGGGGAGGAGGGAAGGAGGAGATAGTAGAGCAGCAAAGATGCCTTTTAAATGTCTAATAAATAACTGCAATTTACTTGAATTTAACCTGAAGTCACTAGTAATGTCAAGGTTGGAGTTTATCGTAAAGGTTCTATCAGGAGAAATTAACTGGTATCTTTAGAAAAGTAGCTCCAAAATCTAATTTAAATCTAAGAATAATTGAGGGGGATTTTGCCTTTTTCTCCAGATGCCTTTCTGTGGTGTCTGGAGACATTTTTGTTTATCGGAACTGGCAGATCTTGCTGGCACGCAATGGGTAAAAGGTCAGGGATGCTGCTGAATTATCCTCCTATGTGCACAGGACCAGTCCCCACACTGTGCAGCACACAGTAGGATCTATCCCCAAATGTCAATAATGCCAGGGTTGAGAAACCTTGGTCTTCTCTAATCGGATATCTTTCTCGGTAGCTTAAATACTAGTAATAGTATTTAAAGCAGGGCTATTTTGGTTTATGGCACATAGTATTTATATGAGGGAAAAAAAGGTATTTGTAAGTGGAAGGCTAAGCCTTTTGTTTTTCCAAAGCTGGGGTAAATGAGGAACTGTAACTCAGCAGAGAGCACTTGGTTTTCACCTGAATCTATCAGTGGTTAGTGCACCTCTGTTTTCCCTGAGCGGGAGACACAAGATATTTAAAAGGTTCATTTAAAAGATTTTCAAGCATTTAATTCTTTAAGTTAATCCGCCAAGAGGAGTAGTGGCTCATGCCTGCAGTGTTAGCACTGGGGAGGTAGAGGCATGAGGAGCAGGGGCTGGAGGCCAGGTTGGGCCATTGAAATCAGCCCAGACTACATAAAACTGTATCTCAAAACCCAAACCAAAGCAACTCCCCAATAAGAACAAAAATATTTTCAAAAGTTTGATGATCTTGGATTATTATTTGTGGCAAGATCTAAAAACCACAAAAATGTTTTATTTTAAATAAAAAAATGGAGACTTTTTATAAAATATCATTTCATTTCTTTGTTTCTGATAAGTCATATAACTGATAGATATGAGTCATTCCATATCATTCTTTTATATCTTTTTATAGTGAACTCTCTTAGATCTGTTTCGTATTTATAAAGTATTCATTCCTAATATAAAACATAAAGTATTCATTCCTAAGTATTTAATTAAATACTTTATAAAGAACAAAAGTTGGCTCAATACTGGTGTCCAGAAAGCTGGAACAATTTTCCCTGACCTCTAATGGCAGAGAAATACAATGACTGGCCTTAGGCAGAGCCCAAATGGGAGGTAGAAAGCTAGCAAAAGGGGAGAAGTCAGGTTTATACTTTTTTGTTGTTGTTGTTTTGTTTTTTGAAACGAGTTTCTCTGTGTAGCCCTGGTTGTCCTGGACTCACTTTGTAGACCAGGCTGTCCTTGAACTCACAGAGATCCGCCTGCCTCTGCCTTCCAAGTGCTGGGATTACAGGTGTGCACCACTGTGCCCAGCAGGTTCATACTTTTATAAATTCTTGAGTAAATGAATCTAACCTTCGGAGACTTGATGCACTTCCTAACACAGCAGCAATCCATTCCTCAGAATGGACTTCATTACCTTTACTAGGTATCCATCCTAAAAGGCTTGGTGGACTGTACAATGGAACCTCTGGAAGATAACTCACAGTCAAGCCACAGTGACAACGGTATATGTGTGTGTGTGTGTGTGTGTGTGTGTGTGTACATGTCCCGGTAGTGTATTGCCCACTGTGTCCACAGTTGTTCTGTTCTCCAAATAACTGAAATGCTACCAGTAATTGTTTGTCTTATTGACCATCTTTGTTTTTCTCCCATCTGTTTTCATTTGGGAGTTTGTTTTTAGGTTGCTCATCTAAGTAAAAATTGCACAAGCCTTTACACACACACACGTTTGTGTCGCTGCACATCTGGACCGTTCCTGAGTATAGATGTTCTTTCTCACGCCACAGGCTGAGAGAGAGAGGGCAGGCAGCTCTAGGTCGTTTGCGCAGTAGGTGTCAGCGTCCCACCGAGCCTTGGAGTATCAGTAAGTGTCTGGTGAGCAGTAGAAGATGCCTTCGTTTTCTTATTCCACTCGTCATGACGCTGCGCTTTATGTTTCAGCGTGCTCTCTCACCCAGCACAACGTGGGGTACATTAGGCATCACTCAGCTTTAGGGTTTTGTTCTGTAATTAATAACTCATAACTCGTATGTTCATCTGACTTAGAGGCAAACTTTGTAGTTCCCCAAGGCATAAGGTGTGTGAACTGAAGAATTTTAATGTTGGAGAGATGAATAGTTCTTTAGTATGGCTAAGGAGAGTAGTTCAAACACCTAGTTTATAGCTCTTGCAAGCTTTTGAGTGCTTTGCCAGGAAGTGTTGGGTCAGAATATAAGAAATGGTCAGAAACACATGTAGCCCCTTCACACACAGAAGTCCCAAACCAAAGTCCTTCACTCTGGTAGTAGAAGCTTGCACAGTCTAGCTGCTTGTTGGATTCTCAAAAGAAGAGTCACAAGACTTTCTTAGGCAAAACTTTTTAAAAATATTGGATCAACATAGCAGCAAAATGGTCTCAAACGAATGTCAAAGCACTCAAAACTCTTGTTCTTAAACTTTATCTCTTAGAAATCATGTCTTGAGCCAAAGACTCATTTTTCCTATGTATTTAAACAAGTTTGGATATAGTGATGTATGAGACAGTAATTGAAATAGCTAATATTTGAAGGTTTTAAATATAAGGTGGTTGAAGAAAATAGATCTGAGAGGTATTAAATAAGATGATTATGATAGAGGTAGAAAAATAAGCATGGTGTAATAGTCAAGGGGTTCAGCCTGGTCCTGAAAGCCTAAGGGATTTCCTGGGAAGCCTCAGGATCTTTAGTGTGAATGACAGGCTGGAGGAGCCAGGTTCTGAAGCAAAGGGTGGCAGGGGCAGAGGCAGACTCGTATGTCTTCTACATAATGAGTCACTTTTGGCCATGTTTTCATGTCCAGAATGCTACCTCTCAATAAAGTAAGCACCAGAACATTTATATCTAAGACCATGTGAGGGAGAAAAAGGCTTTTAGTTAGCTGTAATTGTAACTCGACGTAGCCTAAAGTCCCCTGAGAGGGCAGCCTCACTTGAGGAATTGCCTGGGTTAGACTGGCCTGTGAGCGTGGCTCTGGGAGATTGTCTCATATTAATAGATGAAGGAGAGCACCCCAGTCTAGGCAGGTGGTTCTGGGTTGTAAGAACACCAAGTGCAATGGCTGAGTCTCGCCCCCGGGAGAACCGCCTTCCTGGTCGCAGTGTCTCTCCTGCCAGGTAAGTAAATAAACTGCATGAGCCTGTGAACGGGCTCGAGAGCCAGCCAGCTCATCCAGGCTACCATCACTGTACAGCAGTAGCTGCTTTCTCCCCTCACAACTGAACTTAATTCCTCTTTTGAGTCACGAATTTTCCCTAAAGACAGAAATTTGACTTTAAGTCAGGGTTTTGGCTTAACTTAATAACATTAGCTGATTTCCAGAGCACTTACAGTGTTTCTGTGACTTGAGGAAGGTTATTGGTATGGAGTCATCTGTGGTCTCATCCATTCTTTGGTCAAGAAGATACAACAATTACTTTACAGCTTACAAAAAAAAAAAAAAAAAAAAAGAACTTTTAAAGGCATAGTGATGCATGCTTTTAATCCAGCACTTGGGAGGCAGAAGCAGAGAAATCTCTGTGAGTTTGAGGCCAACCTGGTCTATGTATCGAGTTTCAGGACAGTCAGAACTGCATATGTAGTGAGATCCTGTTTGAAAAAACAAACAAACAAACAAACAAACACAAAGCAAACTCCAATAAAACATAGGAAACTTTTTTCTTATTATTTTCAACGTGTGTGTGTGTGTGTGTGTGTGTGTAGGTCATGACAACTTACAGGAGGTGCTTCTCTTGATGGGATGGAACTCAAGAGGTCAGGCTTGGTAGCATGTGCCTTCACTCACTGATCCATCACACCTCCCCCCAGCGGCTGCCATTTTGCCCTATACACAAAAAACCTGAACCTTGAGAATGCTTCACCTTTAAGAGCAGAATGTCCAGCTTTCTGGGTTTCATTGCATGATCCACCCTATAACACCTATGCCTTGGCTTGACCCGTAAAATTTCCTGAATCATCTACTCCAGCCCAGCTTTTTGCTAAATTTTTTCCCCTAAGCCCACAAACTCAGATGTGCCAAAATATGGCTTTCTTTTCACACAAATGAACTTAATTCATGACTTTTGAATCATGAATTTTCCATAAAGATAGTTTTTTGTTTGTTTGTTTTTTCTTTGTCCGGGTCTTTCTTCTGGGGACATATTGGAAGCAAGTGGCATGGAAAAGCCAGTGACTTACTGTCCCTGTTAGGGTGGAGGGAGTCCAATTTGAGATGTATTTTGCCCGTTTTCCCCTCTATTCTTCTTTGGTTTAA